TAAGAATCGCAAATTTTCACTGTTTTCTTTATTTGCCGCGTGATCATTGATTGGCGCTGTTGCTGCTATTAGGGTTGCGAGATTTTACTTGATCTCAGATAGCTCTACACGAACGCTGATGCCTTTCTACACACTACACACGACTGCACCGATACCTATACATATTTGACCTACATAGTAGCATGAAAAAATGGTAGATTCAAAGGCAGACATCTAACGGAAACGCGTTCTTAGTTATACAGCCAGACTTGGTTTGGTGACACAACGTTTCTTCAGTCGATCCCCAAGGGTCATCTAGAGAATATATATGACGATAATTAGATCAGCCTGCGAGCACAACCCCGGTGAACGTAAATGACACACAAAGAACAAGTGCCGCATGAGTACCAACAGAGGAATTGTACTTGGCCTGCCAAGACTCTCATCTTCCTCTGACTCGTGCCTGATGGACGGCTGCTACTGCGCTGACTCAATAGAGACTTGTGAATTCATTACTGTAGTTAGAATTGACATGTTAGAATACAGGTCGTTCACACAGCTATACTGCCGTGCGACCACACCACTGTAATTCACACAAGGGTCACTTCCCTGTCACTTCACTTGTCCACTCTTCCCTTCGTCTGCACAGGTATTCACATGCAACATCGCACCACCACCAAAATTACACCGATGAGTAAGATTTGCTATACGCATAGCTAATTCTTTCTTTGATTAGAAGCCCTGAGAGTCTCGTCACGTCAGGTGACGCTAATAAACGACGTGGATGACTGAATAAAGAGACGTTTGCTCAAATGTGACAATTTAAGAGTTTCTAGGCTCTCAGTCGTCTCAGTGAATCAAAGATGAGTGGATTAGCTAACGCTGTCGTCGCTTCTATGTCTGCTTTAATTTTATTACGTCCGCGTGTCGAAGCAATGCGAGTGCGGAAACGAAAATTCAAAATCATGAAAAATTGAAAACAAATAATAACAAGGCAAAGTAGCCACACATGTATAATCCGTTGAAAGTAAAAGTAAGAAAGCGGTAAATGCATGAAAACATTATTTTTTCTTGAAATTACAAATAATATTGATTCAAGCAGCTTTATATATATATATATATATATATATATATATATATATATATATATACTGTTAAGCCTGGCGCACACGTGAGTAATTTTACTCAAGTAAAATGATGCATGCGGAAAAATACTCACGCGTAATACTTTCAGCGTCCGCCGCAAACGTGAGTAAAATTACTTAAGGTATGATCACGTGACTGTAAAAAAAGGCGGATAGCGATAGTTCGTCTATTGACGTATTATCGTCAATTGATAGTATCGTCTATTGACGTATTATCGTCAATTGATAGTATCGTCTTTTCGATATATATATAGTTCGTCTGCATCCGAAGATGAAGAAATTTTATTGTTTCTTTTACTGTGGCGTCAACATAGTCGAAGAATTAGGGCCTCTAAACAGGAGAGATGGGCCAGACGGTGGATTTTGTTTTCAAATTTTTATGAATTAGAATTTTCGTTTCCGCACTTACATTGCTTCGACACGCGGGCGTAATAAAATTAAAGCAGACATACAAGCGACGACAGCGGTATGGTGTGTGTTCCAATCTCCTCCGGGAATTGGACACTGAAGACCCTAAAAGATTCAGTCAATTCCACCGTCTGGACAAGGAAGATTTTCAAGACATCTTGCACATAATAACTCCCTTTATCACTCCCCGAAGGTACACTACTCTTGTTGGGTGACATTATTGTATCTAACGAAGAAATAGCGCCAATATGACAAGAATTCTTCTCCTTGAAGGGTCATGGTCATCAAGATAGCAAACAACAAACATAAAAATATACGCCGGTAGCTTGATGTGGCGTAGCCCGACCAGGCTGTGCGACCGATTGTCTATACAAAGGTCTTCTAACCCTAGCAAGACCGTTTCTTGGAGCTAGGTGTGGCGTATATTTTTATGTTTGTTGTTTGATATCAGAATTACTACTTACTACTGCTTTAGGCTGAAGGAGTCGTTGTCGTATCAGGTACTACAGATATGTACCCGAGGTACGTATATGTATACACAAGTGTACCAGACCTGTATCTTCTCAGCATATATGTACATTTTGTTTACATAAACGTACCTGCCCCTGAGATGGAGATCGAATGAAGACGGTCATGGAGGAGGAGTAGGGGGCAGGAGGAGGAGGAGGAGCGGAGAAGATGATGGAGATCGAATGAAGACGGTCATGGAGGAGGAGTAGGGGGCAGGAGGAGGAGGAGGAGGAGGAGGAGGAGGAGGAGAAAGGGGAAGAAAAGGAGAGACGGTGATGGAGTAGGGGGAGGAGGAGGAGGGGAGGAGGGGGAAGAAGAGGAGCGGAGAAGGTGATAGAGATCGAATGAAGACGGTCATGGAGGAGGAGTAGGGGGCAGGAGGAGGAGGAGGAGCGGAGAAGGTGATGGAGATCGAATGAAGACGGTCAGTGAGGGGGAGTAGGGGGCAGGAGGAGGAGGAGGAGCGGAGAAGGTGATGGAGATCGAATGAAGACGGTCAGTGAGGGGGAGTAGGGGGCAGGAGGAGGAGGAGGAGCGGAGAAGGTGATGGAGATCGAATGAAGACGGTCAGTGAGGGGGAGTAGGGGGCAGGAGGAGGAGGAGGAGCGGAGAAGGT